GGCTCGGAGGGGGAAGGAGGGTCTAGTGGTTAGAGCCAGGAGCCTGGGAGCCAGGACTCCTGGGTTCTCTCCCCAGCTCCAGGAGAAGAATGGGGGCTAGTGGTTAGAGCAGAGGGTGGGGGAGACTGGGAGTAGGGGACCCCTTTCCACTACCCTAAGCCCTCCCTTCCTGTCCTCAGATGACCTTCCAGCAGTTCTGCAAAGATGTGCACATGGTGAAGAGCCAGGGCCAGCAGGTGTTCATTGAGTCCCGCGTCAAGCCGCCGGCTGGCAAACCCCCCTGTGCAGGTGAGAGCCTGGGGTCCCTATGGCTGCCAGGTGGGAGTTGGGTTTGCCCCAGTCCTGTTGACTTCCCAGGACTCAGGGGCCCCTGTGTGTGTGTGGGGGGGGGTGAAGATGATGAGCAGCTCCTGCTAACCCGGGCTCCCCCTCCTCGTAGGCCTGGAGACGCTCAGGGCTGGCGGTGGACCAGGCAGGAGGGCCCTGTGTGAGGCTGAGCAAGGCCCGGGCCAAGTGGCAGCCTCAGAGGAATCTCTCCGGAAGGAGCCGTCCAATTACTCCTACCAGCAAATCAACTGTTTGGACGGCATCATCAGGTGAGGATGAGCTAGGAGCCTGGTCTTAGAGCTGCTCCCACCCTGGGGATGCAGCCAGCTCTGGGGCGGGGCAGCTGGTTACACAGGGATCCTCGCCTGGGGCTGAGATGCAGCCACTTCTCAGGCAGGGTAGCAGGTTATTCAGGGATCTCTTACCTGGTTCCCAGATGCAGCCACTTCTGGGATGGGGTGGCTGGCTGTATGAGGATCCGTCATCCAGCACTGAGATGCAGCCGCCTGTGGGGTGGGGTGGCTGGTTATGTAAGCATCCCTTGTCCCCACTAACCTCAGCACTCACGCCCTTTTAGGTATTTGCAAAGCTGCAACATCCCCAGCCGGGTGAAGCGGAAATGTGGCTCCTCCTCCTACACTGGCTCCTCCCACTCCGACGATGACAAACAGAAAACCAGCAAGGAAGTGGCCAGCTCGGCACGAGGTACAGTCCTGTCCATCCTGGGGTGCTTGGCCCTGTTTCCCCCCCCCCGGCCCCCCCGCTCCCCTGCCTCTCCCTCTGGATATTGTCCTGTTGCTGCTGACAGTTTGGGGGGGAGGGGTGTCATGGAGCAAGCCTGGGGTAGCTGATGCTTTCGACCTGTTTGGAAACAGCCTGAGTTTCCTGCTGGGCCAGAGAAGGCGAAATTTGGAGACGCGTTTCGAGGCTGTCGATGTCCCTCCCTTCGATCGACTCGAAACGCTTCCGTCCTGTCTTGGGTGTAACGCCGGGGCGGGTGGGAAAACCCATCCACGCGGGACACCGCCCAATTGTTTGGTGCTGTGTCCATGTTTTCCCGATGGGAAAACCCCTTTAGGGCAGGTTTTCTCTGCCCTTGTTCCTTTAGGAAGCCTGACACCCGTCCATCTGTCCTCTGCGCAGGGCCCCCCACCTCCCTCATTAACCCCTCGTTGTCTCTTTGAACAGATGTGGAGGACA